CCTACATTGTGAGAAACAGTGTCATGTACAAGTCTTCTTCTAGAAAAAAAAAAAAACTGGACCATAAACAAGAATTCAAAGATTGTCAGACCCTCAAGAAATATTTTGGGATTCAGAAAAAAAAACTGCATCAAAACCCGTCCAGTCATTCCCGTGCTACACTTTCCACGAGCAGTGCACAATGTTCAAAACATACTAATAAGAAAAAGCCTGGCCTGTCGAAGTTTTCGACAGAATTTTTTTTTACAAACTTTCTTGTTTTCTGGTTGTATATTGATGAAAATCGGCACAGACACTAAGAATGGCCTCCCAGTGCTTCCATAAAATTTTGAGACTTCTGCTTACGTCTCTAAAACACCTAAAAATTGTGATCTCAGGTTCGTCTTGTGATATTTGACTTCTCAGGCAAGTGGTCTCTGCCCAGTGTGTCTTTTATTAACATGATTAAGTACTTGATTACAAATGACGATTGAAAATTTTTTATATATAGACAGATTTATTGCATCGAAAAAATGGCTCACACTATGACAACCTATGCCTTCTTTCTAAATAACAAATAACAAAGTTATGGGCGGGAGACTGGTGGCACAGCAATTTTTTAGCAGTTCACTTAATGACGCTAGACGGGCATATGAAAATTCGTGCCCCTGCTTCATACTTGCTTTTTTGCCACTTTAGCCACGAAACGCATCATCATATGGCCGGTCGCGGAAACGCTAATCTTGAGGCTTTCATTGTCTAAGAACATTCATAGACGCTTGTGGCGTTACCAAGCACAACTCCAAGCACGTCTAAATCACATAAAAAAAAAAGCTTATTGACAGCACTCCATATGACCGTGGAGTGCGCCGCCGCATGGACAGTGCAGCCGGCGCGTGATGCACTTGGCCGCGGCGTTCAGTGAAGATGCGCGAAATGTGCAGCTAGGATGACAAAAAATAAATAAAAATAAAATAAAAACCGCGGCATACTGCGCTTGGCATTGCATTTTCGAGTGACGACGCACGAAACTGCTAGCCACTGTTCCAAGCAATCCTTGGCAGTGGAGGTGGGGGGGTGGTGGTTTGACAAGCTTGATTGGGAGGTCCACTGCCGATGCGCAAAATGCCCGTCCGCGGTTCTGAGGAGCTAGCGAGTGATGTGCTTCATTGCTTGCAAAGAAGCCCGTCGCCACGAGTGCACTAGTGTGTCGTTCTTTCCCGCAGTCTGGCCGTCAGCGGAGTTATGCCTGAAGACGATTCCAATAACGCGCTGACGCGCTGCGCTCGTAGACCGCGCGCCCGCTCGTAATGATCTGATCGTGCATCCGCTTACAGCTCCTAACTAAAGTGTAATTATATCCTAAGTGATCGTCGAGCCAAGAACACGTCACGAAGTAGCGATTTTTTAGAGCCATGTCCTCCCGACGCACAAGCAGCCGACGACGATCTTTCGGAGCGAGCATCGGGCCCACGACCTAAACTTATGATTTGCTCACCGGCGCCACCCCTATGGAAGCGTGTGGGCCCGAAAATGGGTGCTTAAGGACCGGAGATATTTCCAGGTGCCCCCATGACTTACTCACATAGTAGACGACGCACTGCCATCGTGGTCGACTCTCGTGCGCGTTCCTGCAATTTTTTTTTGTTTATAATGTGCCGATCAAGCAATCCACAAATTTAATGAACCGAAGCAACATTCTAGCTGTGAGTAGCACCGTGGTGGTTGGCTCCAGGCTGTTCATTACAGGAACTCAATCTGCATGAGCGCTTTTGTGTCCCCTTCTAAGTGCAGGCGAACGCAAATAATATGTGACAAACCACCCGTTTATTTTGCACAGTGCGCCCAACATAACCGCTGTCTAGAAGGTACAGGAATATTTCGTCCATAGGCAAGACTGTGATCTTGTAACGATTCAAAACCTGAAATCGGAGTTTCTGCGATGCAAATAAAGGTGCATACGGTACTAACAATGCATGCGATGGCCACTGTAAGCTTTCATGCTCAGTATATCGCCCTTCAATGATACTGTTCACGGATTTAAACGTGGGATACCCAATATCCCATGTTTAAATTGACATAGATACCCAATAAAGTTGCTAAGGGGATAGCTGTCGTGGTAGCTTAGTGGTAGAGCATCGAATGCGTTATTCAAAGGTCGCAGGTTCGGATCCTGCCCACGGCAAGTTATCTTTTCACCCACTTTTCTTTCTTCTCATTTACATTACAATTGGCCTAATAACTTCCCCTATACGTTCCTTGGCACTACTGTCTGTTAGATCTCATTAATATTGTGTAGAACACGAAAAACGAGCCCTTAAGTATACACTTGTTTCCCTTATTCATTAGCGAGGGTCTCCTACTGGCAGACTTGGTGCCTCTAGGTTGTATACGGGGGACAATTGGTCAGCTGCCAGTTAGTAAATAAGTTCACGTGCTACGTGAGGCCAAACAGGCTCATAAAGAGTGTACCACACTCGCCGCCATGGCTACTAGTGGCGCTTACTGACACTCCCACGTTTAAATTGACAGACATAGATACCCAATAAAGTGGCTGGGGGGATAGCTGTCGTGGGAGCTCAGTGGTAGAGCATCGAACGCGTTATTCGAAGGTCGCAGGTTCGAATCCTGCCCACGGCAAGTTATATTTTCACCCACTTTTCTGTCTTCTCATTTACATTACAATTGGCCTAATAACTTCCCCTATACCTTCCTTGGCATTATTGTCTGTTCGATCTCATATATATATATATATATATATATATATATATATATATATATATATATATATATATATATATATATCACCAAATGCTGTAGCACAGCACGCGGCCTGAAATTCACAATAAATTATCAAAGTCAGCTAAAAATTGCTTTCTCTTCCCACGACAAATGACGGAAGACGCTCATAAATAACTCGCGGAATGCCCATTTATCAGCCATTGGCTGATTTGAACATGGCACACTCATTCGTAAGAGAGATCGCAGCGGAAGGCCGTCGCTTTTCCACGTGTGCACGCGCAAACGCACTGAGAAAGCCACGTATGCGAAGAGAAAAAAGAAGAAAAAAAGTGCTCAAGGTCACGAGACGCGCGTGACGTTTTTTGTTTGCCCCTCCCATTCCTCTCTACTCAGCATCCAGTGCTTTCGTCGGGACGAGAGGAGAGATAATGCGATTGCAGGGTGTGGCAAATCTTTGTAACTCCGCTTGTACTGGATGGATTTTTAAAAGTTTCGCGGCATTGCATTTGTGAGGCAATAAGCTTTTCCAGTGAATTCATTTCATGGTTATTCAAAAAAGTGTTTTTGGCCCCTTTAAATTGCGGAAACCATGTCGTCACCACCGAGGGAATGCCAGATGAGGCGCTGATGGAAACTCTGTGAGACCATGGTGACGACAGATCTTTGGTGTTGACTCTTCACCCACTCTCGCCTTGCGCCACGATTTTGCAGGCTCGTCAGTTTAATAATTAGCTGATTAGTTTTCGCAACAACATGACGGCACGCTGAACGCAATGCAATGAATGTGAGAGCAAAAAATTGTAATGTTGCATGGAGTAAGGCTTGCAGCCAACTCTCTTAGATCCGACATCGCGGAACTCCTGCAAAACGCTGGTGTGAGCAAATACGGCTGCTCCAGGGAGAAGTGCTTTTTTCCCACAGTTCCATCGCGTTGAAAGTGCACTGATACTTGCCGACATAGCGACTAACCTTAATATCAAAGTTCATTGTTGCTACTTGAGCGATACTCCCCCTGCGTTTCTTCATGCTCGTTCAAGACAGGTGGTTTCCTTTCTGTTAGAGCACTCGACGGCAGTTCTAACTGCAGGCGATCTCATCCTGTGCGCGATAGAAATGGGTCGATAGAAATGGCGATTGAAATGGGTCGACAGATTTGATCCATGTTTCTGCAGCGCTTGCGCACATATACACGCTCGTTAAAGTTACGATGTGCGGGGGCATGTTATCAATTTTGACTTGTTATCGAACATGGCTTTGACAGCAGAAACCCGCCGAGAGTGTGCATATCATTGCTATTGCAATAGTAACAAAGCTTTTTACCACTAGATATCAGTTCTAGATAAGCTCTGCATTCAGTCTCTCTTGAGTTTAATTTGTGCATTTATTTTCTGAATTTTTGCACCAAACCTGCATATAACGAAATCTTCTTTATAGCGAATTTTCCCAAGAATTTATCGATTTTGCTATATCCAGGTTTAACTTATACTTAGAGCACATAAGCTGGAAAAACAAGGTTTTTAAACTTAGCAAAAGAAGAATCAATCTGAGGGTTAAATGTTCTTTTAATCCTAAAATGAGGCTTCGTGGCAGTACGAATTTGCCCAGGAACAAATTTTTTATGACGTAGCACACTTCCCCTGCAGTGAAACCAGCTTTACAGGGGAGTTACAAGTGGATCATTTTTTACCTATTTGTCTGTTTCAATTACTTCGAAATTTCTCATAATTCATAGAATTGAAGCCGATTCGAATACAGTAGACTCTCAGTAAATGAAGCCTGAGGGAGACCGGAAATATATGTTCCATTTAACAAAAGTTCTGTTCACTGAAAGGTCAACATGGGTGCAGAATGCAAGCCCTAAACCAAGAATTTCAGAGGCAATAGTTCCGTTTAAGTAGTAGTTCTGTATAATAGATTTCCGTTTACTGAGAGTCTACTCTACCTTAATATTTATTTGAATATTCAAAGTGCTTGAATACTCGCACGATTTAGTTTTCCACCTTTTTTTCTAATTAGGATGTTGCAAAATTGTAGCAATCTTTTAAAGAAACTTGCACTACTATTCATTAACTATATGGATGTTGTTTGATTTGGTTTGGTTTTAATACCTACCACACACATGCTTGCTGTGTTGATACAGTTTTGATGCTTCAACTTTGTATGTGGGCTTTTAATGTAAAATTCATTCTCAGCCTATGCTCTCGCTACACTTCTGCATCTTTGCCTATCCAACGTGAGACTTGATTCGATAACCTCTTTGTAAATGTCGTGGAGCTTGCCTGGTCACGGAAGATGTCGCGCAGCACGTGCATGCACATGGCCACCACCTCCTTGTCCGTCTTGTCTGCAATCAGGTCGATAGCGTCGCCACTCACATAGGTCATCAGGACATACGTCGGGTTCTGCACATGGGAGAGGACAATTGAAAGGCATTTAATCAGCATTTAATCATTTCTCTTACTCTTGCCGCAGACAATCTAGGAATTCAGGCATAGCCTAACTTCACTCGAACTATTTGGGCTTTGACAGATGACAGACTTCCTTGAGCACGTACGAACCAGCCCAAATGTGGTACATACCATAGATGACAGACACCAATGAAACTAAATTTCCTTTCAATATTGCCTAGATATATGTTAAAGAGGCCCTGCAATGCATTTTGAACATATTCAGAAATTGTTATGAATATGCAGTCAATGCCCTCCTGAATCCGAGAGCCAAATACATCAGAGACCGCTTATAACGTAAATCGCGGGAGTTGCAGATACAGTTAAACTTAGAGCAAAATTGAGAAATTCCTAAAAAATTTCATTATAAAGAGGATTTCGTTATATAAAAGTTCGATACGAATATCTGAAAAAAAAAAAAAAACACTTAAAGGGGCCCCCAACTGGCCTGAACGGGTGATTAAATCCCGGTGGAAAAGTGCATGAATTATGGTGACAGGTGACAGCGTACTTTTCGCTATATGAGTAGAATTTATATAGTTTTAAATTGCGTTGAAAAGTAACCAAAACCGGCGTGTCGCGCCTCTAGCACCAGAGTCGTGAAACACAATTATGAAGTCCTAATAACTTTGCTGTGATTATTTAAAGCGCACCAGAAAGGAGCTTAAATTTCGAATATGTATGTTATTGTTCATTTTCGTTTGTTTCTATGTGGCTTACAAGGTAAAAGAAGTACATCATGAAAAGTGGCACTGCTTTCGTGGCCTCTGCAGGAAAACAGGCGCAGTTGCGCATGCACGCGTCGTTTCCAAAGTAGCTCGATTCTCGTCACGTTGGGCGCGTTCAGGAAGCATGCAAGCTTTTAAATGCGATGCCTGCGGCGCGTGAAATGCCGTCCACCTACTGCTCTGTGGAGAATTGCTTCATGCATGCTGCTGGTAGTGGCAATGGTGGCGGCTCGTCAGATTCGTCACTACTGCTGTCATCTGTCCAAATGTGGTGGTCTGGTGCTACTTGATAGCGGGCCAAATTTTACGCTCGCATGCGAGCCAAAAATTATTCCTCTAAATTGCTAAAATTGTCCAGCAATAGCATATCAAAGCTGTCCAAATATGGCCGGACGTCGTGCGTTTCATTTTCGAAGACTTGGCTTAGCTCGACTTGGCTAAAGTAAAAAAAACGACCAGTGCACGACCAAAAGTACTTGCATAAGAAGCCTCTGGAAAATGCTGTAGCTCTTGTAAAATAATTTAGCACGCTAAAAAGCAGTGGTGGCGAGACTGCAGGCTTGACAAACATAACATTACGTGTTTGTACTTAGGTCTTCACTTTTCATTACTGCTGGCGTTACACTGGCTTATAATCGCTATTGCGATCACATCCACTGTTTGCAGCATGTCTTTATAAGACTGCATAATCACCCCAAATCGAAAAATTCTGATTATGAATGCTCTACGGTGTTTTCTGCGTTACCATTATGTGGTTACAAGGTCTGACCAGTAAGCTTTTCGTTGCACTCAAGAAAACGGGTACCATAAATATCGATTGTGGGTCCCTTTGAGTAAGGAAAAGGGTAACAGACAGCAGAACTCACCCAAAACACTTATTTCACAAAAAACTGCGAGAGTTTGGTTTATTGCTTGTCCATGATGAATGGCAGCAGTGACTGCTTGTACGACATCAATGAACACAACGCCGCTCCGTCATCGTCCACAGAGCGCGCGGTGCAGCACAATATGTTGATGGCGTCAGCACCTCCTTCGCAGAGGGCATTGCACATGCAGAGTCGTCCTCCCAAGGTTCGTTGTCGTAACTGCGGTCTCGGACAGTTTCTGCCAGAGCCTCATCTTTCATCTCCTCAGTTGTTACAGTACAGTTGTCCACATATAAAAAATCACATATCTGCACGTCATCCGGGGCCCCCCAATTCGTGAGAAGCGAGATCCAAGCTTCGATGAGATCGGACAGGCATGAAGGCACCTCCTGTCCGGGATGAATTTCATCAGCCTGAACCTCTTTTGTTATGCAGACCTTGCAGAAGCAGTTTGCCACAATTTCGGCACTGGTTTCTTGCCGGGACGCTTCAAGCATCTCAATTGTTTGAACAATGTGGACATTCGCATTTTGCTGCACACGGATGTTCAGGAGCAGTTGTTGGATCAGTCGCCGACGGAACGAACATTTAACACTGTTGATACTTTCTCTATTAAGGGGCTGGATAAGCGATGTACAGTTTGCTGGTAAAAAATGCAGTTTAATCTTGGAGAAATGGAGCCCATCAATGTGGTGTGCACTACAGTTGTCTGGCTCCCTCCACCTAGTGTCAGGTTGGTGAAGTAAAGGGCAGAGACTTGCGCAGTAACCAAAGAGTGGCGCTGCCACCGCCTTAAAAAAGAAAGTTTTTAATATATTTTCAAAGCAAAAAATTGCTTTCTTCCATCGGCAAATGACACTACAAGTTCAAAAATCACTTGTCACAGCCAAAAAAGGAATACACGGCTCTGGTCACAGCCATTGGCTGATTCGAGCATGGCGCGCTTGTCGTTGCCGTGGCTGCCGCGGAAGGCTGCCACTTGCCCACCAGTACGACACGAGGTGCATGGGACGTATTTTTAGTTCGCCGTGCCTTTCCTCCCTGCTTAGCTTCCAGCTATTTCGTCGGGATGAGAAGAGAGAATGCAATTGCAGCGTGTTAGAAATTTTTTAGAACTCCGCTTGTGCTGGACTGATTTTAGAAACTTTGCGGCGGTAAATTTGTGAGGTAACAAGCATGTTTACTGGCTCTATGGCTACTTGAAGAAGTGTTGCAGAGCCCTTTTAAAGGGAAATGTTACCCTCAAATCAATTCTTGATTTTATTAAGCTTGTTATGACTGTTTATATGCTCAAAGTATAATAAATTTTAAAATGATAAGTGTCTTACAGGTTATCACTCGCATCCTGCCAAAACTATTACTAAATATTGTTTTGACTTCCTTTGAACGAAAAAAAAAAGGCGCTTGCATAGAGCCTTTATTTTAATTCAAAAGAAATATTGGGCAGGTTAGTTAGGTCATGATAAATATTCTCTATTTTTTATATGTCATACGTACCATTCGAAGTCGATTTGAAATTATTCGATCAAAATCACTAATCGCTTCGAACCTAAAATTCACTATTTGCACAAGCCTACTATAAGCTTGTCTTTCGACGATGCGCGTGGGCAGAGGGTAACTACATTGATATATAAATGATCCTTTTCTGAATAAAAACCTTCAGTTGATGGTAACGTTGGTGTTGTACCCTTCTTTTTTTTTTTTTTTCTGGGTGTCAGTGTGCGCTAAAAATAAGTCACGATGCACTCATACCAACAGGCTCATCTTTCAATATTACTTGTTTTTATCCTTGCACGCCGTGAAGTTTCAGTCATCCTCCATATCACTGAAGCTTTTCAAAGAACTCCTTCGGGCTCAACAGCGTTGATTGTCGTAGAATGCCGATGCAAGCTTTGTCGCGTGGCAAAAGTTAGGTTAGCGGCGGCAGCGATGGCTTTGGCATATTAATAGTCACCCGGGTACACTTCCGCGGCACCGCCAACGGCAGCCATGATCTCAGCATCAATGCAGTCTGAAACATCCACGTTGTCATCTGTACCTATAAAGTAGCTCACTGTCCGAGATGATGCTTCCAACGCTGAGAAGTCCAAGAATTCACTGAGGACCGTACGCCAGCGATCATGACGCACCCGTAGTCATCACCTGGCTGGCAAGGAAACTTTATGATGGTCTTGCTTTACTTGACGTCGCTTCAAGCACCACTCATGATTTTTGTCGCTAAGTGTGGGTCAAGGTTCCCCTCAACTACAGAATGAGGTTTGATCAGGAACGCGGCGAGAAAGCGCATAGGACAACATCAAGTCTCTCATAGAGTTAGTATATTAACTCTATATAACTCTATGGAGTTTTCACAGTTGACATGTTGGCGATATCTATGTCACTTACGCCTCTGGCGCTAGCAGCCACTGCTTTGATGCAAAAAGCTAAAAAAAAAAAAAAAAACACAGCCTCCGAGACGAGGTCGTTCATATCGAAAGCCATGCTTTTTCAGGCTCGTGTGCTATTGTGCGCTAACAAACAAGGAAGGGAATGCGAACATTGCAATGAAATCGCCGAGTCACTTTGCATTCCGTCCTTGGTAATTGGTCTTTTTGAGAAACACTATGCCGCCACGTTAAGACCTGCAGATCGCTTATCAGGGATATTGGCGCACTTGCAAGTGCCACCAAATGAACCTGTTGTGTTCCAAGCACCCCTGTGTCATGAGCGAGCCTCTGAACCCGCGAAGGACCGGATGCTGAAACTGCTTCCAGATATTGACTCCTCCCTTTCCCCCGCTCGGCGCAAACGAGCCACCGTTCGTTTCCCCCGGCAGTTCGGCCGCCGCCTCCATCCGAATAGGAACAAACTTGTTTTTAACCGTTCGAGGCTGTCTGAGCTTTTTGGACTACCGCGACCAATGCGTACGCCTATGGGCCGACGACAACACCGGACATAACAGTGGCGACGAGGAAGTGGATTTGGACCAACGCTACGCAACGATATTGACAAGCTACAAGCTATGGCTACGCACGGGCTCCCAAATCGGCTACCCGACTTCAACGGCTCATCATGGTCATCGTGGTTTGGACGCCTGCAATTTTACTTTGAGGCTAACAACATCACTGATGCAGCAATGAAGAGGGCCAACCTGCTAACGCTGTGTGGGGAGCAGACATACAACACAGTCTGTGCCCTGATTCAGCCACGCACTCCAGCAGCCGTTGACTACGACGACATCGTAACAGCGCTACAAGAGCACTATGACCTAAGGCCATCGGAGGTCTACTATCGAGCCCGCTTCCAACGGCGAGACTAACTGGAAGGCGAAAAAGTGGCCGAATACGTAGCGGCTCTCAAAAAGCTCGCTGCTGACTGCAAT